TGCGCACAGCTGTGTCCACGTGTTTACGTGTTGTCTTAGGCTGGTTTTGCTGCGCAGTGCAGTAGACGAGACAGAAGCCAGTGAGCATGCTGGTGGATGTTGATGTCTGAATTTCATTTTCACTGAATGATTCTGGATTTAAGACAGGTTCATTCATAGATATTTTTGAAAATATTAAAAAAAATTTTAAATCAAATACAAACAACTTTCTTTGTGAAAAATTCCCCTTTGCATTTGCTTTATGGGAATTTTCCTTTTCTAAGGAGTGCTGTGCTGAAGAACAAGGAAATTAAAACAAAATTTATACAGTCTAAATAGACTCTTTAAGTAATACATGCCTTGAGTAAATCCCTTTAGAAGTTCACATTGACTCTAGGAAAAAAGTCAATATTTATTTTATTTGGGGATGACAGCTTAAAAACTGAGCACCATTTGGCGATGAAAAACAAATGGTTATTTTGAAAAATATTTTAGTACTCTTCTGGTGAAGCCTTTGAGTTTGGTTTTTTGGTTGAAATAGATTGTGTGTGTGCGCGTGTGTGTACTTTCTGCATTTTAAAAAAGGGAGGCATCTTTTTCTGTGGACATTGTGTTGGGTTATTAAAGACATCACTTCTTCAGCTTCTTAATTTGTCTGTAAGACCCTACTGTCTGCCAAGAATTTCTGTACCTTTAGGAGTTGAGTGTGCCTAATGGGTCGGGCCTTTCTGGGGCTGCACTCACTGCTGTGAGCAGCTGTTTGTCCTCTGCACTGTATAGCGTTTTCTAAATCCATTTCCATTTTGAGCGTCAAGATGAGTGTATTCATTATATAAGGGAAAAAGTCGCTAAGTGGCTATAGTTTAGTGATGATTGAAGTATAACATCTCTTAATTCTTAGTATAGTAGTTTTCATTTTATTCTCAGTCGTCTCTTCAACAGATTCTAATTCAGGGAATATTCTCAACTACCGAGTCTTGGGACAGTTTTTCCAGTCCTTGATTTTCTCATCAATAAAATGAGAGAGTTGAGATTGATGCCCTCATATTTTCTTTCTGATATATGAGTTTTTCCCTTAATATATGTATATATCTCACTGAGGCGCAGTAGATTCACATGTTTCAGGTGCACAGTTAGGCGACTCAGTTATACATATGCATATATATTATTTTTGAAATTATTTTCCATTATAGGTTATTATAAGATTCGTCCTCTAGACATGCACTCTCTAATATGATAGCCACTAGGCACAGGTGGCTATTTAAAATTAAATTAATAAAAATGACGTGAAATTAAAAATTCAGTTCCTCAGTCACAGTAGCTACGTGTTAAGTGCTTTGTTTTCAGCTGGGTCTAGTGGCTGCTGTATGGGACGGTGCAGACACAGTATTTTCCATCGTTGCAGAAAGTTCTATTGGATAATGCCATGCCTGGATATTTTCAGTTTGGATTTGATGCTGAAACAGTGGTAGCCATCTGAAAAACACTGAACGAGGCTAGAAATTGCAAGTGCAAATGGAGATAACCTGAGGTTTTGAAAGCTTGGCTTCCCTGATGGCTCAGTTGGTAAAGAATCCACCTGCAATGCTGGAGACCCCGGTTCAATTCCTGGGTCAGGAAGATCTACTGGAGAAGGGATAGGCTACCCACTCCAGTATTCTTGGGCTTCCCTTGTGGATCAGCTGGTAAAGAATCCGCCTGCAATGCGGGAGACCTGGGTTTGATCCCTGGGTTGGGAAGATGCCCTGGAGAAGGGAAAGGCTACCCACTCCAGTATCCTGGCCTGGAGAATTCCATGGACTGTATAGTCCATTGGGTCGCAAAGAGTCAGACACGACTGATCGACTTTCACTTCACTTCACTTCACAAGATATACTGACTGTTGTTCCCTGTGCTGTACAATAAACCTTTGTTGATTGTTGCATGTCTGTTTTTTTTAATTAGAAATTTAGCATTCTATTCATATTAAGTCAAACAAGTGGAATCAAAATGTCATAAAGTTTTTAGTTAGGCAAAAATTCATAAGTTTCTAAAATACATATGTTGTATATATTATTTATATATATCTATACAAAGCTTTTCTACTACGCTTGATAAAGGTTGAGAAAGAACATCAAAAGTTGGAAAAATTGGAAAACATAAACTAAGTGAAATGGGAACACTGAATATGAAACAAAGAAAGTGAAACAACCTAGATAAAAGATCATCATGTAATCCAGTTGTTTTTAAACATGACTGCTCATTAGAAACATATTTGGAGCTCTGGAGAAAAAAAAATTGATACTTGGACATTTGTATTTTTCAAAAAATGTCAAGATAATTCTGATATGCATCTAGATTTTAAAAAGTGATTACATGTGTTTCTATTAAGTAGTAGTCATGGGTGATATAGAGTTTATCATTTTTCTGTTGACCAGTCATGATGCAGTAGTATTAAGTGAGTAATAGTTACATAATCACAGTTGTAAAAGATATTTGTCAGTTTTCACAATCAACAGCCTGACAAACATAGAAGATAATTACAATTGCAAGCCTTAATGGGAACATGATTAACAATATAAAATAATTACAAACAATGGGGGAGGTCAAGCAGAGTGACATGGTAAGTGGAAGTACATGTATGCACATGTTTCATCTGCGCAGCCAGCCTCTCTTGTCTTTTGGTTGGTTCATTTGATCGTATTACCATTTTCTTAATTGTTTTGGGTTTATTTTCTGTAGGTAGGTCTTTTCCTTCTCATTTCCTGTCTAGAGAAGTTCCTTTAGCATTTACTATAAAGGTGGTTTGGTGGTGCTGAATTCTCTTAACTTTTGCTTGACTGGAAAGCTTTTGATTTCTCCATCAAATCTGAGTCTTGCTGGGTAGAGTATTCTTGGCTGTAGGTTCTTCCCTTTCATCACTTGAAATATATCATTCCCTTCTGGCTTGTAGAGTTTCTTTTGAGAAATCAGCTGATAGCTTGATGGGAGTTCCCTTGTATGTTATTTGTCCTTTTTTCCCTTTTTACTTTTAACATTTTATCTCTGTCTTTAACTTTTGTCAGTTTGGTTGCTATGTGTCTTGGTGTGTTTCTTCTTGGGTTTATCCTGCCTGGGACTCTGTGCTTCCTGAACTTGGTTGACTTTCCTTCCCCGTGTTAGGGAAGTTTTTTAGCTATTATCTCTTTAGATGTTTTCTCAGGTCCTTTCTCTCTCTCTCTTCTCCTTCTGGGACCCCTGTAATGTGAATGTTGTTGTGTTTTAATGTTGTTCTAGAGGTCTGTTAGGCTGTCTTCATTTCTTTCCATTCTTCTTTCTATATTATGTTTTGTGACAGTGATTTCCCCTATTCTGTCCTGCAGGTCATTTATCTGTTGTTCTGCCTCAGTTATTTTGTTCCTTCTAGAGTACTGTTCATCTCTGTTCTTTAGTTCTTGCAGGTCTTTGGTAAATATTTCTTGCATCTTCTCCATCATGTTCCCAAGATCCTGGATCATCTTCACTATCATTCTGAATTCTTTTTCTGGAAAGTTGCATATTTACACTTCATTTAGTTGTTTTTCTGGGGTTTTATCTTGTCCCTTAATCTGGGACATAACTTTCTGCTTTTTCATCCTAATTAATTTTTGATAATGTGGTTTCTGTTTGAGCCATTGTGAGACTGTGGTTCTTGCTTCTTCTAATGGAGGAGGCTAAGAGGCTTGTGTAAGCTTCCTGATGGCAGGAACTGGTGGTGGGAAAAACTGGGTCTTGCTCTGGTGGGCAGGGCCTCGCTCAGTAAACCTTTAACCCAATTTCTGGGGATGGGTGGGGTTTCCCTCCCTCCCTGGTAGTTGTTTGGCCCTGGGTTCTACAGGCTCTATGGTAGGGTTAATGGTGACTTTCATGAGGGTTTACGCTGAGTGGGCCTGCCCCATCTGCTGCCGCCAGAACCCCATCTCTGTGCTGAGCCCCTGCCGACCCCCACCCCCACAGGAGACTCTCCAATACCAATCGGTATTATTGTTCAGTCTCCTGTGGGGTCACTGCTCCTTTCTTCTGGGTCTTGGTGTGCACAAGATTTTTCGTGCCCTTCAAGACTGCAGTTTCTGTTTCCCCTAGTCCTATAAACAAATTCCTCTGGCCTTTAAGGTCAGATTCCCTGGGGATTCCTAGTCCCTTTGTTGGATCCCCAGGCTGGGAAGCCTGATGTGGGATGCAGAACCTTTACAACAGTGGGAGAACGTCTTTAGTATTACTGTTCTCCAGTTGTGTGCATGGGATTTGATTTTATTGTGATTGTGCCCCTCGCACTGTCTCAGTGTGGCTTCTTTGTCTTTGGACGTGGGGTGTCTTTTTTTCTGGTGGGTTCCAGCATCCTCCTGATGATGATTGTTTAGCGGCTAGTTGGAGTGCTCTTCTGCGAGAGCACCATCCTTCTACTCCAGCAGCTGGAGCCAGATGAGTTTGGTTTTTAAAGGATCGTTACATGTGGTAAGATCAAATCCTGTGAAATGATCGAGTCATTCTTGTCACACTTGCGTACTTGTTGATTGTTAGAATTGTGTTCTTGGAGCTAATTCATTCAATGACTTAAGTGTTTTTTCTGCTACATTGTGATCTCCAGAGGGTAAAAACCTTCTCTCTCTTATTTTACCAGGTACTTACTTACCCAATAAATACTTGTTGAATGAATGAGTGATTAAATAAATGATAATGTCAGCAAGGTTGGAGGCAGTATAATATTCTGAAAGGAACGTGCACACACTATTAGATCACAGGGTATAATATTTCAGAAGTTGTGGGAATGTTATTTGGAAGAATGTAAAAAAATGCAAAGCACCGTGCCTTTCAGTTAAAAAGTTAGTTTCTTGGGAATTCTCTGGTGGTCTCGAGGTTAGGATGCTGCACTGTCACTGCTGAGGGCCTGGTTTTGATCCCCGTCGGGGAAACTTAAGATTCCACAAACCTATGTAAACTGGGCACATGTGGGTACGCTAGGTTTAATTTTAATAACCTGTATTATTTTTCTTTTATAGTTTTACATGTGGCACCCATAAAAGATGAGACTGAGAACACGGAAAGCTTCTCAGCAATCAAATCAAATCCAAACACAACGAACTGCCAGAGCAAAGAGGAAATACTCAGAAGTTGATGATAGCCTGCCTTCAGGAGGAGAAAAAACACCGAAGAATGAAACCGGCTTGTTGTCTTCAATTAAGAAATTCATTAAAGGAAGCACACCCAAAGTAATGGTTTTACCTGTTAATATTATCATTAAAAGTGAAACTTAGATTGTTTTCTTTAAGCCTATAAAGATGAGAAATCTAATATTGCTAGAGCCCAATTTAACGAAGTGTGTCTACATTTTGGTGTTGAGTATTTACATGTAAATAAAGGTTGGTCAAGAAAACAGTATTCTACTTAACTGATCCAGTTAGCCTTCTGTTTTTTCAGCTTCGTATTATAGGAAGTAAAAGAAATTTTTTCTTAGTCATTTACTTGAGTTATTTCATTTATTTTCTTCTTTTTTTTTTTAATTTCAAACATAAGTTAGTTTCTTGTTTATATTGATACATTGTCTAATTAGGAAGATGATTTATCTGTCTGAATTCTAACACTTGTACAATGAAAATGTTTTATTCATTGAAGGGAGAGCAAAGTTATTAAAGAAAGAGTGGGGAATTCCCTGGAGGTCCATGGTTAAGACTTGGCACTTCCACTGCCATGGGCCTGGATTCAGTTTCTGGTTCGGGAACTAAGATCCCACTGGCCATGTGGCAAAAGAAAGAAAGAAAGGGCAGTAAGCAGGAGGCATAAGCTTTAGATTCGTGCTTCATGCTCTGGACCAACTTGAATTCTAAGGAAAGTCATTTTCCCCTCAGCCTCAAGAAGACAGTAAAGTGGGACTAATACTAGCTACCTTGTCTGCCTCAGATTAGATGGCAAACAGGTGGAAAAGCAGTTTGAGAAGTTTTAATGCATTCTGTAAATAATAGCGTTATTATTCATTGTATGTTGATTTTATTATCACTGTTGACTACTATTGTGTTCTTACTTAAGAGTATTATATATGATAAGTTAGTGTAAATTTGTCACTTTGGTAAGTAGAAAAATAAAATGTTATTTTTTCATAGTAATAGATTTCTTTTGCTAATCTTAAGTATAATTTTTAAAAAGTTTCTTTGAGTTAATTTACACAGGCCTATAAATATTCTAGTATTATTGTATAAAAAAGATAAAATTCCTTCCAGAAACAAGAATTCCTGAATCTTTAAATTTGTTGGGTTGTCATTAGCCCTGTTGATGAGAACATCACTGTGTCAAGTTCATTCTCTGAACAACTCTAAATATTGTGAAGTTCTTCCTCATCTTGAAGAAAATATACCTACCCTTTACTTTTCCCACATGTTCTTTTTCTCCTTGTGCAAATGCAAGCACTCAATCACTGTCCTGGCTAAATAGTTCTAGTTTTTATTATATGGCATTATATGATGATAGGTTAGCATCTTGGTCAACTTTTTCTTGGTTATCTTGTTCCTGAAAGGTAACAACTAGAAATGAAAATAGGTTTTTTGGGTTTTTTTTTTTTCTATGTCTTCTGACTTCTGTTTATATTATTCACGCTTTCTTGTTTTTTTTTCATTTAGTAGTTTTAGTTCTTCTTTGTTGGTCAGCAGATTTTTGCTCATGTCAGTTAAAACACTCAGGCTTGTCAGTTATTTTTAAGCCAAAAACTAAAATTTTGTTATTAATGCCTATCCATTAGTGGATGGGGCCAATAAAAACCTGTTTGCAAGCTAATATCTTACTCATTAATTAATATTTTTGAGCAAGGTTTCCACCACAGCTACAAATTCATTTAATTCATCTCAGATTTCATTATTATATTCAGTAAGATTATTGTGATAATTAATATTTGAATGCCTTACTGAAATCAGAGTATAGTGTTTCTTTTCCCATCTACTATCCTTTTGTTAGAAGTAAATTAAAAGATTATTTTGTCACTTATTACTCCTAATGAGGTTATGCTGTTGTGTTGTTTAGTTGCTAAGTTGTGTTGACTCTTTGCAACCCCATGGACTGTAGCCCGCCAGACTACTCTGTCCGTGGGATCTCCCAGGCAAGAATACTGGAGTGGGTTGCCATCTCCTTTTCCATGGGATCATCCCAACCTAGGGATTGAACCCTCATCTCTTGCATTGGCAGGCAGATTTTTTACCAGTGAGCCACCTGGGAAGGTTATACTGGCTTCTAATTGTTAATTCTTTCTTATCTAAATTGTTATTAAACCATCTTCTTAATAATGCATTATTCTTCTTAATAATATGTTTTATTATGTATTTATGTTAATAGTAAACTAATACACACCTCTTAAATGAGCAATGTATGTTTATTAAATTATCTTAAGTATTCTGATGACTTTTATATCAAGTTAGGGCTAGAATACAAGTTAAAACTTATTAGCAAAATGTTAATAAAAATGAATCAGTGATACTAAACTGGCAAGAATACCAGCAGCCATCCAAACTAGAAGTTCAGTTCAGTTCAGTCGCTCAGTCACGTCCGATTCTTTACGACCCCATGGACTGCCGCACGCCAGGCCTCCCTGTCCATCACCAACTCCCGAGTCAGTGATGCCATCCAACCATGTCATCCTCTGCCGTGCCCTTCTTTTCCTGCCTTCAATCTTTCCCAGCATCAGGGTCTTTTCAAATGAGCCAGCTCTTTGGGTCAGGTGGCCATAGTATTGGAGTTTCAGCTTCAGCGTCAGTCCTTCCAGTGAACACCCAGGACTGATCTCCTTTAGGATGGACTGGATGGATTGCCTTTCAGTCCAAGGGACTCTCAAGAGTCTTCTCCAACACCACAGTTCAAAAGCATCAATTCTTTGGCACTCAGCTTTCTTTATAGTCCAACTCTCACATCCATGCATGACCACTGGAAAAACCATAGCCTTGACTAGATGGACCTTTGTTGGCAAAGTAATGTCTCTGCTTTTTAATATGCCGTGTAGGTTGGTCATAACTTTCCTTCCAAGGAGTAAGCATCTTTTAATTTTGTGGCTGCAGTCACCATCTGCAGTGACTTTGGAACCTCCCGAACTAAAGTCAGCCACTGTTTCCACTGTTTCCCCATCTGTTTGCCGTGAAGTGATGGGACTGGATGCCATGATCTTGGTTTTCTGAATGTCGAGATTTAAGCCAACCTTTTCACTCTAAAGAGGCTCTTTTTCTTTCTTTTTTTAAACTCTTTATTTTTATTTATTTATTTTTCCATTTATTTTTATTAGTTGGAGGCTGATTACTTTACAGTATTGTAGTGGTTTTTGCCGTACATTGCCATGAATCAGCCATGGATTTACATGTGTTCCCCATCCCGATCACCTCTCCCGCCTCCCTCTCCATCCCATCCCTCTGGGTCTTCCCAGTGCACCAGCCCTTAGCACCCGTCTCGTGCATCCAACCTGGGCTGGTGATCTGTTTCACCCTTGATAGTGTATTTGTTCCAATGCTGTTCTCTCTGAACATCCCACCCTCTCCTTCCCCCACAGAGTCTAAAAGTCTATTCTGTACATCTGTGTCTCTTTTTCTGTTTTGCATATAGGGTTATTTTTACCATCTTTTAAAATTCCATATGTATGCGTTAGTATACTGTATTGGTCTTTATCTTTCTGGCTTACTTCACTCTGTATAATGGGTTCCAGTTTCATCCATCTCATTAGAACTGATTCAAATGAATTCTTTTTAATGGCTGAGTAATATTCCATACCACAGCTTCCTTCTCCGTTCGTCTGTTGATGGGCATCTAGGTTGCTTCCATGTCCTGGCTATTACAAACAGTGCTGCGATAAACATTGGGGTACATGTGTCTAAAGAGGCTCTTTAGTTCTTCTTTGCTTTCTGCCATAAGGGTGGTGTCATCCGCATTTCTGAGGTTATTGATACTTCTCCCGGCAGTCTTGATTCCAGCTTGTGCTTCATCCAGCCCAGTGTTTCTCATGATGTACTCTGCATATAAGTTAAATAAGCAGGGTGACGATACACAGCCTTGATGTACTTCTTTTCCTATTTGGAACCTGTCTGTTGTTCCATGTCCAGGTTTAACTGTTGCTTCAAACTAGAAATCATAACAGTAAAGAAGAGCAGAAAACCTGGTTGATATGCAGAGACCAAGTTTCAAAAAGCCAGAGTCATAAGACAGGCATGAGAGCAATATCAGACACCTAAGAGGGACGACAGCTCCAAAGAGAAAGCAAGACCTGTCTATAAAGTTCAGTTTTAACCATAAAATTTTAAAAGTTCAAAAGAAGAGAAAGAAAAGGAACTGAAGAAACCAGTGGCTGCATAAGAAGTTTTCTAACTAACTTGGATTTTAAAAGGACCCTTGTAGAAACAAGAGAAGTAGTCTATCAGCCAGTCAGAAAAACTGAAGACAGAGGTTGATGATTCATGAAAAAATACTAGGGTAAAGGTTTTTCCTAGACAGAATAAGCTTCAAACTTTGAGCTGATGATAGAATATAAATAAGTGACCAAGTCAGTAGCATAGAGAGACTCAATTCTTTCTTTCATCAAGAAAGTTTTCAGTCCTTACACAAGGTGGGTGATGCTATAAAGATGCCATCCAGCTACTTTGAGACAGAGTCAGATTGTACCTGTGTTAGATCCCAGCACTGTCACTTGTTGGAAAGGCAGTAGTGCATAGCAGTCAAGGATGTAGGCTCTGAAACCAGGCATATCAGCTTGAGTTCCAGTGTTGCTATTTAAAGCTGTGTAACCCTGCACAAGTTATTTCACTTTCCTGTGCCTCAGTTTCCTCGCCTGTAAAATAGAGAATAGAGATGCTAGTAACATTGTAAATTATCTAAATTCACTGAGCCTGTTTTTTTTTTAATCTATAAAATACCAAATGATGGTTATAAAGTACCAGATAACTCAATAAACACTAGCTGCCAACCCCTATCCAAATTTTGAAAAAAGACATCACTGTATTTAAGATACTGAGATAAAAGATAGCCATTTTAAATACTATTAGATCCCTTATACTTACATGTCAGTTTTAGAATTAGCTTGTCTATTTCTCCAAAGAAAACCTACTGGGATTATAATACTGTATCACATGTATATATCATTTGGTGAGACTGGACATCTTAACTGAATTGAGTCTGCCAGTTCATGATCATGATATATCTGTGTGTTAATATAAGTGTTTTTAATTTTTTTGGGCCAATGTGAAGGTGTTACACA